AAAGTTCGACTTAGGTAGTTTTAATGAGTAACTCTCTCGTCATTTTAATGAGTCCTCATCTCAAGTTTTAGTGAGTAACTCTCTCGTTTCGACTTAGTGCCCAGCGAGTAGCAGCTGTCTTGGCGTTTCGACTTGGTGCTTCTACAGAGGTAACCAGTCTCTGTATCAGCGTTTGGATTTGGTGCCACAGTAGGCGAAGACTGTCTCGGCGTTTCGACTTATTTTGCTATTACAGACCAGAAAACTGTTATAGCGTTTTTGAATTTTGTGCCACAGTAGGCAAAGACTGTCCTGGCGGTTGGATATGGTGCCACAGCGGGATCAGGCTGTCTCGGCGTTTAGATATAGGATTTTTGATTTTTGTTGTTTTATTTGGTGTTTTTAATTGTTTTTGGTTTCGTTTGGTAGTCTCCCTATTAGTCATCGGGGCGGTCTGTGCGTTCTCGAAGATTTTCGCATTTCGAACACGTCGCAAGAATACCGACAATACCCCCTCTAGCACCTTAACGAGAGGGCTGCACACATTAGAGGTGGCGTAAATCGGTTTCTCGCGACGTGTTACCCCTATATCTGATAGAAAATTGACGAGTTTTGATGAAAGATTTCTGCTTAAAAGTTGGTGTGTGTGTGTGTTTTTGTTTGCGCTTGTCAGGGTTAAAATGTGTGGTTTATCCATGTTTGATGGGCGCGGGAAAAGCTTGCATTGCATCAAGGCCCGAGCAACCGCATGCTCCAGAGAGGATGAATATGTTGGGACTGGCATTACTATCTTTTGCTTCATCTTGCGTCTATTGTATTGTATTGTATTGTATCAATACGCTGCGCTGTGCCCTTGTTTCTCGGCGCGTTCTTCTCTCTGAGCGACTAGACTCGCTAGCATGAAAAACTAGGCAAGCTAGCTTCTGGAAGTGAGCGCTTCAAGTAGCGCTTCTGATCCGGCCGTTCCTCATGTATAATCGTATGCGGTGACGCGCGCGTATCGCGTTAGAAAGACAGCGCAAGTCCGGATGTCAGACGGCGTCATCGGTATTGTGTGCTTTTACTTTGCATTCATTGGCCTAACTGCGTGTGACGACAAAGTCCTTGGATACCTGGATCGCGTCGAACGGCATGGGCTTGGCGGTGAGCTTTCTCTCTGAACTAGCATCGTCGGCAGTAACAGTGACATTTGCGTTGTCCTTGTCATGCTCCAGACTGTTAGCTTGGGTACCATGATAGTGCACTTGTATGCGAAGATGGCTTAACTTACCAGCTCCATCCACTGTGTGTAGTGACCTGGTCTTTGTTGCTGTGATCCTCCCAAACCACCAGTGCCCGACCTTTTCAAGCCGCTTGTTATCCCGCTGTTGCTCGATGAGCTCTTGTACTTTGTGCGCCATCGCAGGTAAAAGGGCCGAAGCATCGGGATGTTGATGCAAATACCAGCAAGCATCAGTTCAATAGTGCACAACATAAACGTGGTGCCTGAGGTCCCTGTGAGATTACCGATGAGGTCTAGAAATGGTTAGAGGCGCGCATTCACGTCGGGAAACAACAGGAGGCTTACCAATGGTGTAGATGAGTACGAAGCGCGCAATACTGATGAATACACATGCCAATCCCAAGCCAAAACAGGCCAACACAGCGAGCTTTTCTGTCTTGCGCATCTGCAGCTGCCACACTGAGCGAATTGGCAAAGCCACAATCATGAGATCCGTCACCATATTGGTCAGGATCAAGCACTTGAGTAGAAGAATCTGATCCATGCAATGTCCAACTCGCTCCACCGTCCACTGCTGCGAGATGGGGTCGCACAGGAACAGGAAGACAAAGTTGAAGATGATGGCCCAGGCAACTACGATGCCTCCAACAATATAAACCGGAATACGAAGTTGAAGGGCGAAGACACGGTGGTAGAGGGCCAGTTGGGAGAGCTTAAGGGCAGCTAGACACCAAATGTAGATCAGCGTGAAGGCGAAGGTTATCTGCATGATGAATGGGAGGTTGTTCATGACTGAGGTCCGTCAGTTTGTGTTTTGGCTGGTCTTTGTATGAACAACTCACGCTTGGGAAACATGTCGGCGTTGTTGGGATCCAGGTCGTAGCCAACGCCAGAGGTGAATACTAAAGGAGACGTCAGCGGCAGACGCAATAGCTTGCAGAAACAACTTACCTGTAGCATTCAAGCCGATTGTACTTGTTGCCAAGACCTTTCATCATGTCAACTGAGACTTCACAAGGCTGAATGAGTTTGCTACTTACCATTGCAGTGCCCGCAAAAACATCATCCAGTGACAGCCCCGGTCCCCTCATACGGCCATAGATGCGGAGGCCCACCGTTGCCACAAAAAGCAACCACAGACACGACATGGCGATGAGCGAGTCACGCCCGCTCCTCACCATGGGTATGTCGATCGTGTCCTGCATCTTGAGTGATGGCCGTGGCGCACAGCCAACGCGGTCAACGCAGTCAGGAGCACGAGGAAACAATCAACAAAGACTGAGCAAATGAGTGGAGCCCGGCTTCAGAGACCGAGTAGGCAAAAGGGCAATAATGAGATGGAATAATGTGTCGGGGGCGACGAGATAATGTTAAAAACTTGATCCATGCTGTCGACTCCTGGCGCTCGTTTCGACATTCCCAGCTGGATCAATCAGCACGAACAGAACGGGACGGTGCAGAGGAAGCCACGGGCCGGTTAAGATTCCCTGCCTGTCAAGACAAATAGTGGGTATCTTAGTAACACTGTTGCCACAACGGTCGATGGGATACGGGAGCTTTCCCCCTGTGTGCCTTGGTACTGATCCGTAAATGGCCAGACAGATGCATGCAGCAAGGCGCACTGACAATCGCAATGTGCGGGCGTCGTCCAGGCTTATGCAACGACGTCAGGTCTGGGTGAGAGAGGCTTGCGAGTGACTCGAGATGGCCAAGACACAGGCTGTGGTAAGTAGGTATGCCGTCGGCGAGCAATTTCACCGGGCAATGCACGACCCGATTGCCAAGGCAAACTGCCGGGCGCCTTAGCCACTTCCAACGACAATTGCAACGCTGTCTGGGAGCGTCTACGCTGACGCCAACACGGCATGTGTGTGTGTGTGTGTGTGTGTGTGGTGACGAAGGAGGGCATTCGTCTCCGCCACGTTGGGCACGGCAATGAATTCCTTTTGAAATTTAACCTCCGAAAGCTGAGACGGGCGAGTGGACTCCAGCGCTCTACAAAAGCAGTTAGGATCTGCTCCTTTGTGACGCCTCTTGCGCGTCGCCTACCCTCCCCGGCTCACGGTCGTCTGTCACCCTATCAGGCAAAAAAGTCGGCCACAGAAAATTTCCGCCTCTGTGACATATAGCGCAGGGAACTGCAGTTGCCGATACCTCGCTTTCGGTAGGAGACCCGCTGTGGAGGAGCGCACAGCTCCACCTGAGTGCAAAGAGGTGCAACGCTTTTCCCATGTGGCCTTGCAGGGACCTGAAGCACCAATGGCGGGTCCTTGGCATCAGATGTCTGGAATTAAAGCGGATCAGACTCGGGGAAGGATCCGCACAGGATATGTACGCGCTGGGCGCCTTATCGCCCATGGGTGATTGGCAGTGAAAAACCAGTGGCCCTGAAGAGGGGGATCGGCCTGCATAGGCATGAAAAGAGCTGCCATGATATATGTGGTCGGCCTCGCAGGAAATTTGCTCAGCATTTGCTCATCCTCTTGCCCGGGTTGTGCATTGTCGAACTACCCGAAGCTGTCACCATGGACGAACAAACTGGCGTCTCCCAAGGCCTAAAGTCGGCCTTCTCCTTTACGAGCATAGCGTGGCTTGCCGTGCTCTGGATCGGCTACCGCATCGCTGTTGCGCTTTACAACATCTCGCCGCTCCACCCTCTCTCCAAGTTTCCTGGTCCCAAGATTGCCGCAGTCAGCTACCTCTACGAAGCCTACTATGACTGGTGGCTCCTCGGACGTTATGGAAAGGTCATGGCGCGCATGCATGAGCAATATGGCCCTATTGTACGCATCAACCCAGACGAATTGCACTGCTCTGACCCCGCCTTCACGGATGAGATCTATGCTGGACCTGGACGCTCGCGGGACAAATGGCAGCACCAACTGAACACTGGTGGTGCTGGGCCTGTCTCGGTTACTGGATTCTCGACGGTTAATCACGACCTGCATCGCGCGCGCAGGGCGCCACTGAACAAGTTCTTCTCGCGCCAGCAGATGCTGAAGCTAGAAGGCGAAGTGCACGACTTTGCATCCATGGTGGCAAACAAGATGCTCAAATCAGCGGGCAAGGGTGCTTTTGACGTCAAGGAGGCCTTCAACTGCTACACAGCCGATGTCATTTCGCAGTATGCTTTTGGTGAGCCCATGGGATTTGTGGCGCAAGAGAGCTGGGAACCCAACTTTGCGACATGGGTCAAGTCGTTTTTCAACAGCGCCTACATGATGCGACACAATGCGCTGGGCCGGAAAATGGCCCAGGTGCTTCCATTCATGGCGGATTATCTGGGCGAGGACATCAAGGCTGTCATGAATGTCATGAACGTGACTATCCCGCAGTACATTGCGCAGGCTCTGCGCAACCCGGAAAACGGACGTGTCTTTGCCGAAGTCATGGGCAAAGACAAGTCCATGTCGGAAGAAGAGAAGTACCGGTATAACGGAGAAGGATTCAACTTCTTGCTTGCAGGCACTGAGACGACTGCTGTATGTTGTTCTCGGAACCTGACGAGTGCAGTAGCGCTGACGCTGTCTAGGCCATTCTTACCGTCTTCACCTACTGGGCCCTTGCCAAGCCCGAAGTCTACCGACGCCTGCAATCCGACCTCGCACAAGCGGGCATCAACTCACAGAACCTGAAATGGGTCGAACTGGAGAAGGTGCCGTATTTCTGGGCCGTTTTGCAGGAGTGTCTGCGCATGATGCCTGGTGTATCTCACCGGTCGGCCAGGATTGCGCGCGAAGAGGATTTGCATTACGTTTCGGCAGACGGCAAGAGCGACTGGGTGATTCCCAGGGGCACGCCCATCGGCATGACGTCCATGATCAACCACTGGAACACTGATCTGTTTCCCGAGCCCGACGAGTTCCGGCCTGAGCGTTGGTTGCTGGAGGACGGCACGCAAAACTACGCGCTGCAGAAGAAGCTGATTGCGTTTGGAAAGGGCAGTCGCAGCTGCATTGGCGAGCAGCTGGCGTACTGCGAGCTGTACGTTATGGGGGCGTACATGGTGCTGGATGTTCTGCCGCGGGCGAAGCTGGTGGACACGACAAAGGAGGATATCTGGTATGACCACGACCTGATTGTGGCGCAGACGACCAAGGGGTCTATTTCGGTTCGGATTGCTGTCGCGTAGGGGGGGGTGTAATGTAGGTAGGCGTAGGTGTAGGCAATGCGAATGTCGTGCAAGCAATCAGGTCTGGATGAAGAGACTACAGTCGCGCCCAGGCAGCAGCGCAGAGCGTGCACAGGCTCACGTGTTCACGTGAGCGAGCGCACGTGTCCGCAGCCACGTGCCCTGCGGCAGCCTCGGCACAACAATGCCCCGCGTAGCATGAGCCTGCGGCGCATCACGTGACGGGCGCGAAACACGGACGTTGCCAAGACTGCACACACGGCGACAAGCTTTTTTGTTCCCCTGACTTGGATGTGCAGCCAAGGCGCAGGCCACGACAACGACAGGGCCCTGCACACACACACACATATATATATATGGCCTGCACAGTGACGACGACGACGACGGCGACGGCGACGGCGAACATGCCGTGGCATGTACATTACATGTATGTCGCAGCAGGATGCCGGTCGACACGCGGCGTGCAGGCCGTGTCGGGCGCTGGCAGAGCGGCGGCCTACCACACGGCCTGGGGCGCACCGAGCCTGGTCGGCCCATGGCCATGACGTGGAATGCGGCATTTAGGGCAGCCATTGGCTCCAGCGTTGCCCCGCTCTTGGCACGTCCAGGCCCAGGCGCGTCTTGTGAGGCCCAGGCGACTTCAAATGCATGCCCACCGTCTCAGTCTCGCCTTCGCGCCCGCCATCCTCGCCCGCCCACCCCCCGCGCCAGAGCATCTCCTTCCAATGGTCCGAGATGTCTTTGCGCTCCACGCCATCGTCGCCGGCGATGACATGAGGTTCCCCTTCTCCCTCCGGGATTACCAGCGCTACATCTTTGGCGACGACAGAGTGGCCCATCGTCTCGGCACGGACCTCGCCAAGGCCTTCATTCCCACCATCTCCAGCCCTCCACTCGACTTCGCCGTTGCCGTCTTATCCGAGAAGGTCCCCACGGCCACTCACAGCCTGCGCAACCACTTTGTTGCTTACCTCAACCGCCATCTCATTGCCAACAACGCTGCGCCCGCCCTCAAGCTCGACTTCCACCATGTGGGGGCCTCTGCCAAAAAAGCCCGGGGCGGTCCGCCCCCCGCCACAGCCACAGCCGCCGTCTACCACATCGACACGCAGCGTCTGCAGAACCGCACCCTCATAGTCCTCGCCGACATCAGGACCGGCCAAGACCGCGAAGACCGCATCCGCGCCTCGTTTGCCGTCCAGGGCATCACCACCGTCTTCGCCTACCTGGCCGCCCTCGACGATGCCGCCGCCACCCCCCAACTCTCCACCTTTCTCTCGTCCGTCGTCAGCCCGTCCATCAAGGACATTGAGAGCATTGCCCAGGGCCCCAGCTTCGTCATGAACGAGTGCTTTGTCAAGTTTATCCTCGAGAGGGACGACGTCGAGTTTTGCCAGTTCATCAGGCGCCAAGACGACCACTTTGCTCGGCTGTTGCTGGATCATGCCATCAATAGTCACTACCACGACGACGACGAGCACAAAGGCAACGTCAGGTTTCTGCTGTGGGAGATCCAAGCACGCGAGAGCGTATAGCTTGCAAAAGCCATTCTCGACTTCATGTAACAGTGAACAACGAGCGCGGCAACAAACAATTCACATCTTCATCCTTTGACTCATCCGTCTTCGCCATAACGTTTGACCAAGCTTCTGTCACGAACCAAGCATTGGCTGGTGATAGCGCCACATGCGTCTGGTTAGGAAATGCGCCGGAGAAGGAACGAATACCACAAGGGACGGGCCATGCACATCACTATGACTTGCATGCCACACTCAGACGGTAGTGATGGTGACTGGCCACTGCGACTGTCACATGACACGCCTCGAGGCACTGCCAACCGCAACAAGATCGGCGACTTGTAATGCACTATAGGTCGTATGCTGTGTACGATAGGTGACTGATATACCAGCACCTTGTAATATAGTATAGTACTAAGGCTGGGGTCCAACCCTCGTCGACCCATTCAGTACATGTTCTTCAACTAGCATGTAAATCTGGTCAAAGTTCAACTCGTTTATAATCCGATCCTATTACAGGGTTGATTGAGCTTGTCCAAATTTGTCAACTAGCGCCGAATCAAGTCTTGCCGGCATTTGTGATTACAGCCATGGCCTCTGATCGTGCTATGAACTGTTTCCTTCATGTGAGCCTTGGCAGCCCTCAATGTGAACATCTCGTATCTCAATTGAGACTCAACACAGTTATTTGGCTTGAGAATTTGCTTATTGCCGTGTCAATGGCATAGTCCTACAAACAATTGTTAACTGCAGGTGATGGCCCTCTTTATCCTATTGTACTTACATGGCCTTTGTTCCTCGACGCACCACGCCGGATCCGGAAAGCCATTAGCTGTCTTTGTTCAGTCTCACTTGTTCTGACAAACAGAAATTTGAGAAACACTTCATACTAGAAGACCAGATAGTCAATTTCAACCCATTCGTCCAACACATCAACACCATAACGCCAGTGTCTAGCGACAACCAACGCGCTCAAATGCCTATTGCACACCGAACGAGAAGTAGTCGCCGCGACCAGAGCGGCCCTGTTTCGGAAGAAACTCGGCCTACTGCGACAAGGAATACAAGAAAACACATTTCTGCAACCCCAACTCCACACCCAAGACCCCGCCGCGAAACCGCGAAGCCTGTTCCTGCATTCAAAAATGAACCCAAGATTCCCGACGAACCTAAGATTCCCGATGGACCTAGGATTCCCGATGAACCTAAACTTTCCGATGAACTTGCGCTTCCTGACGAACCCATGACACGATACCTGGTAAGTACCCAGGCGCACATGATTCACGGCGACGTTTCCACTCACACCACCCTAGCTCCCCGTCACCGTGGCACTAATCACTCTAATCTTTCTCCTGGAAATTCGAATCCGTCTCCCCTCGGTGCTAGCATGGCTAATCGCCGTGCCATCCCTCCACCTCAGCTCCACACCAGCATCGTCTCGCGAAAAACAAAAGCAAAGCCTTGGTCTGCAGCCCGCGAGTCAGGTAACCACCGAACGCATTGGAGACGCAGACTCGCACCGCCGCCCAGCCGCCAATACAGTGCCAGTAGTACCAGCAACACCAGCAACAGGGGTAACTACAAGACGCGCTGCACAGCTCCAAGCTACCGCAGAGCAGCAGTCTACGCAAGTGTTCATGAATACTCGTTCCAAAAAAACACTAGCAGCATCATCCGAGTTAGCAAGCGAAACTGCACAAAGCACAAAGACACCTTCTCGTCCGCGCAGACAAAGGAATGCTCGTCCTGCTACTGTTCCCGCCCCTGCTCCCGTCCCTGTTCCCGCTATTACTCCCGCCACTATCACTATCACTCCTCCTACCCCTTCCAATGACACGGATATCAACACCGACACTAATACCTTGACAATCCCACCTCTCCTCCGCACCATCGCGATTTACATAGCCAAAACGCTCTGGTTCCAGTTCCGCTTCCGCGTCATCATTTATGTCGCCGAGACAGTATATTCTGCTTTCTCGGGCCGGAACATCAACGTGAATGCGTATTTTTGGTATGTTTTGCGCTTCTACTACTCGTGGATTTCGGGAATTGCGGGAGTACTATGGCGTGAGATGAGGGGGGTACTGGCGCAGTGGGGGAGGGCTGGCGAAGGGGGGCTGGGTAACGGTGAGTAAGAGGTTGTACGGGTGTGTATTTATGGTGTTTGAAAGTATTTGAGGAGATAAGTGTTTTTTTGTAGTAGTTAAGCGTGGGTTGGAGAGCAGAAGGCCTGCTGAGGCCAAGAATGGGTTTTTCTTTGCATGATTAAAGTACAAAATCGAAAGTTACTTATCCAAATTTACTAGACTGTCATTATTGGGCTAGTACTTTACCAAGAAAGCGGCGATGAAGCTACGAATCAAACTTTCCGTGTCTCTGACCCGACGCTGTTCCTGCCTTGCCCTTTGCATGCGATGTTGCCTTGTCATGCTTGACCAGCTTCAAAGGCCGATACTCTGGGTCCCACATTTACTCTCTGATCCACTCTTCCAACTCGTCACCATCGGTGGGTATATTCTTTTCCTGGGCCAAATCTTCCTCCACTGCCTTCTTAATCACGTTCTTGGCGATTTGGACGCTGATTTCTCGGACATCCTCAACGTCTGGGAGGAGGCCGGCTCCTTTGTCATTGAGCACTGGAGCGGCAGAAGCCAGGGCTTTGACGGCGGCAACAAGGAGTGCCGGAGTCATCAAGCGAGTGCGGCAGAGGACTGCACCGAGGCCGATTCCAGGAAACGTTACAGAGTTATTGCATTCGGCTGTAGGGATTAGCTTTCTCTTGTATCCGAATGTGAATCACTTACAAATATCATACTCCTTGCCATTGTGCTTGACTGGATCAAAAGGTGAACCAGTGGCTACAAGAGCCTTGCCGTCAGTCCAGTCATATAAATCCTGGGGTTTGGCTTCATGGAGTCTGGTGGGGTTTGACAGTGGGAAGATGGCAGGACGTTCAACATGCTTGGCCATTTCCCGAACGACGTCTTCGGTGAATGCGCCTGGCTTTGTCGAAGTACCTATCAGAACGTGCGGCTTGACCTCTTTGACAACCGACAATAAATCGCCGTGATCTTTGCCTTCCCATTCCTCGTCATCTCGCGCAAAGGCCATTTGAGCAGGGGTAAGCTTGTCTTTTTTGCCTTGCAAGAGGAGACCTGGCTTATCGACACACCTGGAAATGTTAGCTGATATTAGGCAGCCACATCATGAATCATACCATATTTGACGGATAGCTTCATCTTGCGACCTTCCCGTATTCTGCACTATGGCGTCTCGTATCTGGTCCGCAATACCGGTTCCTGCTGATCCCGACCCAAACATGACGAATCGGGCCTCATCCCATTTGGTCCCGCTCACTTTGAAGGCTGCCATGATAGCTGCAAGCGTGACACAGCCAGTTCCTTGAACGTCATCATTGAAGCATGCAATCTCGGGCGTGTACTTGTCCAAGATTCTTCGTGCATTGTCCAAGCCAAAGTCTTCAAAGTGGATGTAGGCTTTGGGATAATGCTTGCGTGCAGCTCTGACAAACTTGTCGACAAACTGGTCGTATCTCTCGCCAGAAACTCGCGGCTTTTGTAGTCCTAGGTAAAGCTCATCGTTTAGAAGATCCTCATTCTGCACTTTGATTAGCTGGGACGCGTCTAGATTCGGATATACCTACATCTGTGCCGCAATCGAGGACAACAGGTAAAGTCCGTGAAGGGTGAATGCCAGCGCATAGCGTGTAAATGACAAGCTTGGCTATGCTGATAAGAATAGCTCCTACTCCCTGGTCTCCAATTCCCAGTATCTGTTGCCCATCACTCACGACGATCAGGTCAATGTCCTCGGGATCGCCCCATTGCTTGATGTCGTCCTCGACACGTTCTACATCGTCAATGTTGAGAAAGCAGCCTTCGGGTTTTCGGAAGATCTTGGAGTAATCGGCTATGGCTTCGCCTTCAGTCGGAGTATAGATGACTGGGAACATATCCTTTAGGTGGTCGAGGATGAGCTGTACGCATCAGCTTTGTACAGGAACAAGTATCATTACCTCATACTTTGTAGTAAAGCACCTCGTTTTGCTCCTTCATACTTGTCATGAATGTGTTTTTGGCAAGATCGCTTGGGCACGAGCAGTACTGGGCATATGCGCGCTTGACCTGTTCATCGAGAGTTTGAACATTCGACGGAAGCAGGCCATGGAGCTTGAAGGTGTCGCGCTCTTCTTTGGTGAATGCTGAGCCTTTGTTGAAGTAGGGTGTTCGAAGAAGCGCGTTGCCCTGCTCAAATGTTAGTGCCGCGACTGCAATAGTATATTGTACGCTTGCGCACCGTCAAGGTAGTCTCCTGGGGCCCAGAGGTTGAAAGGGGCAGGTGTTCAAATTTTTCAGTCTTTTGCTGTTCCATATCAGACGATATGTTCACGAAGTGTCTGGAAAAATGCGTGATGTCGGTGTGCTATGTGACTGTCGGTCTGTACAGTCACTTGAGAGGATTTCTGCTGGTTGGAGTAGCAGCCTTGTTGCCTGCGAGACGCAGACTATATAGTGCTGTGCCTTGGAAAGACGCTACGTGTGCCCGAACTCATCCGGTATCGTATTGGGCTTCGCCGTACGATAGGCCAACGCTGCCTTGCTCTTGTCTTATTAAAGCCCCTCAACTTTCATTTGCGAGCCAGTCCAAGGGTGCCGGACGATTGCGGGAGCGTGATTCTGGCTGTAGACATGGCTGGTCGTCGTGTCCGGCTTGATCCGGGGCTTTTTCAACCTCAGAGGCTGGCATGACTATGCATACGACGTGTTTTCGCAGCTTGGATTGCTCACTCTTTGTCATTGGCTGCGTAACGATGACGTCGTGCCATCTTTGTAAGCGCCTAACCCAAGGTCATCGTACACTGCAAACATACAATATTAACGTTCCCAAGACGCCAGAGTTTCCAATATTTCAAGGGCACAAAAATAACATAGCATAACGCCAATCGATATGAGTCAGCTACACATGTGCAAGAGGGCATGGCGAGCTCTCCCTCACTCATCACCCACAACCGTCTCCTTTGACATCGCATCCTAGGCCACCAAACACGTTGGAGGCGCAACCTCAAAACCATGGCTGCTAGTTTAGGTCAGAGCATGTGCTGTCTTGCTGCTACCTCAACATCGCCAAAGAAGAAAGCGCATCCGCAAGGACACCCAGGGCTGAAAGACCGACCACACGCATGTAACCGACCTTCACAGCACTGCCCCGCTTTACTCGGCACCCATCCTCATTCCACCACTCTTCGCTGACTTTGCGCAACACTGCTGGCGTCACAAATCTTTAAACTACGTCGCCAATCCATCTATTACTCAGCAGTCTAGTGTTCAACTACTTTCTCAGCGCGCCATGCGACCTTATCGACGCGTTATCACTTTCAGTCCTTACCTCACAAACGCAACTTTATCCTACTCAGATTTCATCCATCGCTGGTCAGATGGTTGGCGGTCCGCTCATGAGCTACCGCCATTGCCACGAAGCAGACCACGCTCGTTGTCCTTTACCCAAGGGCCAAGGCACGCACCACAACTCCAGTCCCGGCTGCTTCAGCTGCCTGCCGAACTACGGGCCGCGATACACAGAGAACTGGTCAATGAAAGCACCGAAATACATATTGGCAATTACGGAGGTGAAATTTGTTCGGCGGTTTGTAGAAACCAAAAATACAGTTCAGGGGACTACATTGACGGACATGCGGAACTCGAATGCATAAATGTCAATGAAGGACCCGGCAACACCTGTTTTGTTACAAACATTGGCTTGGATTTCTTTGGCTACATCCGCAGTTGCAGAAAAGTGTAATCTTGCCCTCCCTCTGCACTCAATTCAGACAAGTTTGACATGCTGACTCTTAGTTTCAAGATATGTAGAAATGATCCAACTGCTTTACACACAGCCAGTATTCATTTTCGACGACTGGGTTTCTCTACTGATGTTTAGCGCTGCAATACTGCCCAAACGGTTGCAGAGCATTCGCTCAATTCGCATCATATGGTATGATGACCTTGACATTAGCCCAGAGGATCCCGCTTTTACATGGCCACAGAGGGCGACCTATCGTTATCTCTGGTTCTGGAAGAGAGTTGTAAGAAATCCAAATTTACCGAGCGTATTGGAACGTCTGCACCATGTGCCAAACCAAGCGCAAATAAGTCAAAGTTGGAAGATTGATATTTAGGGATACATTGTTCGACTACTGGCTGGGATGCGAGGTCTCCACACCTTTCGACTGGACACTGATGTTGACCCCGAATTCAAAATAATCAAAGTCAATGGCCATGTCTTCGCACCCAAGGTTTGGAGCGATATGAACACCCTTTTTCAGAGCCGTAACTGGGTTGGGTTCGACATGGTTGCCAGACACGATCCCGTTCCAGACTCTACGTATGTTGATACCTTGCGGACAATGTATCGGTTTGTCAGGTTGCATGAGGAAGCGGTAGAGGAAGAGGAAGAGGAAGAGGACAAAGACGAAGGTGAGGATGAGGACGAGGACGGGGACGAAGATGAGGATGAGGACGAGAACGGCGATGGGGATGGGGACGGGGATAGGGGTGAGGACAAGGATGGGGATGAGGATGAAGAATAGCAGGCGCTTACCTAGATTTCTAGTATGAATGACTAGAAGAATCGTCAATGAATATTTGGTAATAGATCCGATTCCTCATTTGAGTGAAGAAATTGTTGATTTACTAATAACTAGAAATGAACGCCTACTCTAGGCAAACGCCAAGACTTGAACCTTACTGTTGCCAATAAGTTGGCTCGTCCACGCTTTGCATGCATGTCACACTAATTGGGAAAGCCGACTCAGCATGTCTCAGCCACATTTACCACATTCAAATACAATAATTATCCTTGTTCCCCGGCCTCGCTACCTATTCCTCCCTGCTATCTCCCGTAATCCGGGGCGTAGATAGCGCTGACATTCTGGCCCCAGGCAACCTCGGAGCGAATACACAACACTACAGCATCATGTCATGACCGAACTGGATGATGTATGGTTTCTCGGGGATAGACTCTGGGATAATCCCCGATTTTCTGCCTTGCGGTACATTATTGGTCTTGCTGCAGGTATATGCAGACGTGTGGCGCAGTCGTGCATGTCGAGTGGCCTACGCCCTGCAGCTGAACGACTACTCTAGAATGAATTGGACTAGAGAGTGAGACATGGCCTACAAATCTTTTGTCTTGTCAGCATTATGGAAAATAGGGTGTACTGACAGTAGCTCAATGTGGTCTATCGCAGATGGGGATTGTGGCCGTGAGAAAACAAAGTCCCTCGGCATTTTGGAGTTTCCACCGAAGGATTGCAGCAACTTGAGACAAAGACCCTAGTCCTCGCATGATTCTCACGAATGGAAATTGTTTCTTAACCATGATTTTCTCCGCTGCACATACTACACTGCCTCATTGCTGCTTCTGAATCAATGGCCCCCGAGAGTCATTGGCACTCTCAAGCTCACCCAACAGCGTGAGATTGCCAGGGTGGTCAGCTACATTGCAAAAGCCATGGATGACAGCGTGCAGCGCGGTCTTCCTGGAAGCGCTTTATCCAACCAGTAAGTTGCAAAGTTTGACGGTACAGAAGTGATCCAACAGCTGAGTGGTTACCAGAGGGGAAATCTGATGCCAGCATCACACACTTGGCCCACCTCCAATATATCAATGCAACATGACTATACCGGGTAGAGGACTAGATGCTGCCACATGGGTTGGAAACGGTCGTACAGCTGCAGTTGTTGTAGCTGTTGTGAGATGGAGCGTGTATATAAGTGTAGCATCACACACACCAACTTTTAAGCAGAAATCTTTCATCAAAACTCGTCAATTTTCTATCAGATATAGGGGTAACACGTCGCGAGAAACCGATTTACGCCACCTCTAATGTGTGCAGCCCTCTCGTTAAGGTGCTAGAGGGGGTATTGTCGGTATTCT